GACTTGTGAGCTTGAATGTGATGTTAGTGGCATTGGATTAGGAGGTGTGTTATTACAAGATGGCAAACTTGTTGCATACTTTTCTGAAAAATTGAGTGGGCCTAGTCTGAACTATTCTACTTATGATAAAGAATTATATGCTCTTGTTCGGACCTTAGAAACATGGCAACATTATTTATGGCCCAAGGAATTTGTTATACATTATGATCATGAATCTTTGAAACACATTAAAAGTCAAGCAAAACTGAACCGTAGAAATGTTAAATGAGTTGAATTCATTGAGACTTTTCCTTATGTCATTAAACACAAGAAGGGTAAAGAAAATGTTATTGCTGATGCATTGTCTCGTCGCTATACTACGCTTTCACAACTTGACTTCAAAATATTTAGTTTGGAGACCATCAAAGATCAATATGTGCATGATGTTGATTTTAAAAATGTAATGCAGAATTGTAAAGAAGGAAGAACGTGGAAACAAGAGTTCGGGTTGGTTTCGGACCCCTCCTCCAAAGGCCATGAAATTCCCCCTCCCCCCTTCCTCCATATATAGCCCTTAGGGCGTCGTTTAGACTTTGGATTTTGTTTAGATTAAAAGTTCATCATAGTTGCAACTTCACATAGTTCGTTTGTGTTCAACGACCAGACAAAGGCGTCACAGAACCCCGCCTTCATTAATAAAGCTTTCCTTTTTTATTCACAATATCCAGATTGCAATCTCAGTTTCTTGCTTATTCTTCGTTTGCTCGCAAGAAATAGACCTTCGTGGTCAGGTTAATCATGCTCCGACGTGGTCAATAACCCTCGAAAGTTGGTTTAGCAATTGCTAAGGCACGACGTCTTCGCACGTTCGTAGTCAGATCATCAAAGTCGACTCTCACAGAAAACGATAACTATCTCATCAAAACATCATGACATCTTCGCCTCTATCAAGCGACACGCTGCTGCGGCACCCTGTCAAGATGAAGCGAGGAAAAAGGTGACCGGGCTGAGCTGACCATGGCTGGTATCAAATGGGGCAGGAGCACTCCCTGTCCACATAAAAATAAAGGATGCATATGGGCGATCTATTTGACAAAACATGGGTTCAAATGGCTATATCAACAACAAAGAAGCATGTGAAAGTTCCAGTGGCATTTCTCGATTTGGCAAAAATTGCAGTGGCATTTATCGAATAAACCCAAATTTACCCAAAGAAATAGATAGATCAGGTACGCATTGCACATTACTCGATACTCAAACAGAGAATATTTTCTCATCCACTAGAGAGAAAAATGAACCGTCAGCCAAATAAATAAAACTCACATAGTTACAGTTTCTGGCGACTGTTATGTACATTCATTCAATTATGAGTAGCGGGTTTTGGGAAGTCGCTCCTTACAGAATGAATATTATGCAGCTTAACGTATTGATAGCCTGTGGTTTTGATGCAACTAGTGTGTAACAAACCAAACGATCACAAAGAAAATACCAAAATAAAGGAGAATTCCCGATGGAGCCCTGAAGTACATGTGCATAATGCTTTTTATATGTGAAGATCGTCCAGTGTTAGCTCTTCGGCGGACATCATCTTCAGTTTCTGCAAACAATATACTTGATCAAACCTGCTAGGCCATTGCATATTCAACACGAGATGAACAAAAATAGAAACTACTTACTGTGATGAACTGGGGTGGATCATCAAGGCTGGACGAACCAAGGATGACCTCACGCTTCAGCTTCGATGAAAGCTTGTGTGCAGCACGTAACTGGAAAACGCATATTATTGGTTACAGCATGCATATTAGTATGGCCTTAGTGAACTGTGGGTGTTCAACATACTGAACAAACCTCTGATCGAGTAGCACCACCAATGACAAAAACAAATATACGCTGGCCATGCTTTTGGAAATCACTCGATGCATGCTTCAATACAGAATCACTGCAAAGAAATGTCAAGTCCTCAATGCATGCTGATAATTACATACAACATTACCTGCTACTTTCAAACAGGATTTTAATTGTTAAAAACTGAAAAGCATATAAAATCAAAATGTATATGTTCACTAGCTAGAAGAACCTAAGGGCCATATATTTACTGGCACAAGGATTTAAGTCCGACTTTTGGAAGTAAAGGGACCTAGTCACCTCGATACTCCCTTTATGGAGGTAAAAAAATATGGTTACAGGGGAAGTTTCGTCCCGTAACTGTATGTTGTTTAGGTAGAAATGAGGCACCCTACGGAGGCTACCCCTAGAACAAGGGCACGTGCTCTAACCAACTGACTGCTGCCCAGTTCTCCCTTTTATGGAGGTACAGGGATCGGATGTGCAGTTTTGACTATTTTAGACACCTTACTAGTTGCATGTGAATTTTTCACAATGGCAGACATTATTTAGCGATATCAATGTCCAAGAGGCATCTTTAAACTCTACAGCCGGTGCAGATAGATAAAGAGAACTCCTGGCTATTCATGGCAACATAAACAGTGGCCCATACATGGAGAAAACCACAGGTATCATTGTTCTAGATAATTCTAGAAATACTGTACTGGACAGTATCCACCACTGACCTTGAATAACCATCATCAGAACCACGAGGCCTAGCCCATGATCCACCAGTCCTCCTAGATCTCATCGAGTGAGCTGGGCTTGTGCGGGCTGAGGTACTGGTAGTGGTAGGTCCTACATGGAAACTGGGACTAGGGTCGTTCATGCAGTTATATTCATCTTTTGGTAATTCACCCTTGCTGAGCTGCTCAATCAATTCCTGAACAAAAGGAATGTTATTTTACATGCCAAAAAATGGAAACAAAACTGCATAAAGTAGACATACAATGTGTGCGCCAAGGGCTATCGAGATGAACCCCACAAAATTTATAAAATAGCTGAGATTTGTAAAATAAGTCCCATAAGAACAAACTGGGGGTGTGGCTTTATATTAAATATTCTGAACTTAATGGGGCAAACACTTTTTTGGAATTCCATCAAACACAACTGAAAAGAATCTTAATTTGCAGTGATTTCTCAGTAAATCGGGTTTCAGATTGTTTGGCTTATTGAGTTGATCCTTCACACTGCTAAAATGGCTATCACATGTCAATGCTGTTGCAGAGTGTTAGAGGAGCAACTTGGATGTATTGCATAGCCCAAGGGGCAAATATATATTACAATGAACTTGGAGTACAAGGAAGGAAATCTAAACTAATGCAACTACATAACGGACACCTAGACCAATATTAATACCCCTTAACTCAAATGCAAACCGTGTCCAATAGCATTGCATTTGAATAAGTGTAACACTACAGAAAATGGAGATCCAAAATCCACGTCTTGAGAGTGTCATGGTAGCATGGAGTCTTGAAAAACCTGTTGAGTCAAGCAAAAGAGAGATAGAAGAAGAATGTTGCAAAGATCATTGCACAAGCAATGCAAAAGGAGGTGATGCGGAGCATCCTACGGTCATCCCATGTACACTTCAACTACTCCCCAAGCCCCAAGTGGACCTACAACGAGAGCTCGAGCATGTGCCATTGGAGATAAGGTGAACTCACTCCTAAGTGCTTCCCCTTTCCATTCAAGCGAAACATGGTTGCTACCTAAGACAAAGACACTATGTGTGCATAGGAACCAAGGACACGACCATGGAGGAGCTCGGAGCATATGACAAGCCACCACGGATATGTAACAAGAAGTGCCTCAAGTGGAGTCGCCACGAAGCTACATCGGCCGGACATACGGCCGAAGCCCGGATATCCGGCGCCACCGAACAGTGGAAGACCAGAACAAACGGGCGCCAACCGACTCTACAGTGGCCGGATTCGGCCGACACCCTGGACATCCGACGTCCACCGAACCACCGAGCATCCAGCACCGCCCCTGTAATCCGGCCAGAGGAGTCCAGAAGCTGCGAAGATGTGAGCCACCACCCGGCCAAACATCCAGCCCAGCCTCGGACATCCCGCGCCCCAAGTCGGGCGGACATCCGGCATGTCCCCGGACATACGGCGCCTGCGCAGC